GCTCCTCCGCAACAAGGCGGGGGGCACGGGAACGAGGGTGGGGGGTGGGGGGGCACCGTGACTGCCATCATGGGGCCCTCCGGCGCGGGCAAGACCTCCCTGCTCAACGCGCTGGCCGGTCGGCTGCAGGATGTCCAGCGGGAGGCCTCCGGCGGTGGGAGGAGGAGGAGGCCGGGGTTGACCGGCGCCGTGCGGCTGAACGGGCTGGCCGCCAGCCCGGCTGAGGTCCGGGCGCTATCGGCGTACGTGACCCAGGAGGACGTGCTGCCAGAGACGCTCACGTGCTACGAGCACCTGATGTTCCACGCCCAGCTTAGGTTGCCCGGGCACACGACGCTTACGAGACGGCACGACAGGGTTGTGGAGGTGGGGGAGGCAAGCGGTGATGATGCCAGGGGTTGTTGGCTTCACCGCCCAAGATGCGGGGTCGTGATAGGGAGAGGTTTCGTTTGTGTGTTGAAGTTGTTATCGAAGCACGCAGCGCTCTGCCCGGGGGACCACTCAACAGACATGTTTTGGAGTGATTATTTTTATTCTTGGCGGAACGTATTCATTTTGGTCTCCCAAAGACTACACTGAACGACTTTTTTGCTGCAACGCTGTCCGATCCGCAACAGAACCAACCCGGCAAATTGAATCGAGACCCTTGTTGCAGGAGCACCAAAACGCCACTCTGTTTTCTGTACCTCCCCATGCAGGTTTTGGAGCAGCTTGGACTCGTAGACATACGCGACTCGCGCATCGGGGGCGGGCTATCGAGGGGGATATCGGGGGGAGAGAAGCGGCGTCTCTCGATTGGCACGGAGCTCCTCACTCGGCCCGCTCTTCTCTTCCTAGACGAACCTACCACCGGCTTAGGTGAGCAGGAGTGTGTTGGAATGCGCTTGTTCCGCCGCATGTTTTGGCACGAAAATCGACCAAGAATATCTCGCAGCCAACACGTTCTTTGACAAGATTGGGTGTGGCCGATCGTCGTTCTTCTCCGTTTTTGGTTTTCACACGCGTCTGCACATACCGCAATTCTGTGTGCGTTTCCACCTCTTGGTTCAGTGGCGCGGGAACCCCCCCCGTGGCATCGAATGCGTGCATAGGGCCTCTCTCTCTCTCATGACGTCAGGGCCGAGTGTCGCACGTCCCTACCGCGGGAATCACCGTGTCACCCCGAATCCTGTGTAGGTCTCCTACAACAACGCACCATACCGCAAACACTTCATTCCACGTTTTTCTTCATTCATGTCTTGGCATTCTCAAACCCTCCGCGCGCCCCCTCCACCCCCCGGTTTTCTCGCGAAGCGCGACACGCAACACCCTTCCAATAATCGCCACGCCTTGCCAGACCGACACGTTTCCGGCCACGTCCCCCCCCTACTAAAATCAATGTATATATATGTACCAGACTCGTCGACGGCCGTGCGCGTGATGAAGCTGGTGTCGGAGGTAGCCTCGCTCGGGACGACGGTGGTCTGCAGCGTGCACCAGCCCCGTCCGGAAGTGGTCCGCCTCATCCACAAGGTGATGGATGGATGGATCGATCGTTTTCGGCATCTTTTTGTTGTTGTCCCTTTTTTGATTGTTATTCCTTCTTCTTTTTTTGTTTCCCGTTCTTTTTTGGCTCTTTTTTTTGTTTTCAAGTACGGACTGATTTTAGAAGGTGGAACTGAGCAGGACCGGAGCGATTGTTCGGGCGGATGCAATACCAAGAACGAGGCTGCCATGTCATGTCACATGCAAGCTCGTTCCCCGGCGGCGCGGGCACGAAATAACCTACCACTCTGTTAAGGCTTGCAACATTTTTTGCGGCTCTTTTAGTTCTTTTCTGCTCGGCGTCGTGCTCGGCTGACAGCCTGCTCCGGGCATTGCGTAGCATTGCACTGCGAGCGACTGATTTTACCGAGCAATGTCGGCCACCAACCAATCCGACCTCTGCCTGACGGATAACAAGCCGTGGATAGTTGCCCTAGCTAGGCACGGCTTAACCTACAAGCAAATCTCTTCTCCTGTATTTGAACGTGTGTCCGTGATCTCTAAACCAATGTCTGCCTGAAACCCCTGTTCCACGTTTCTCAACCTGCCTCCATGAACCCGCTACCAGTCTGTTGCAACCCCCCTTTTCCCAGTGTCTCACCCGGCCTTCGTACAACACAGAACCACTGTTTTTTATTCCTTCTTTTCCCCATCTCTCGAACGACCAGTCTTTGTATGCACCTTCTTTCCCCTCCTCGACCTCCTGTCAAAGGTCATTCTTCTCTCTCGAGGAGCGGTGGCGTTCTCCGGCGCCCCCTCCGACGCAGAGGCACACTTCGCTGCCATCGGGAGGCCGTTTTCGCGGCTTGGCGCCGGAGAGACGAGCCCGGCAACTGATCACTCGTCCAGCGGCGGCGGCGGCGGTCCAGGGGGGGCTGGGGGTGCCGTGGCGGGGGGGATTAACCCGGCGGATGCCATCCTTGATGCCGTCGGGGAGGCGGAGGATAGGGTGGATAGGGAAGGGGTGGACGGGGGTGTGGAGAGCGGGGTTAGTCTTGTGGTGATGCCGCGGCAGCAACTCGTGGAGCAGGTGAGTGAGGTGGTGTTTTTTTGTGTGGTTATGCCGCTCTTGTTTGTTGTCCCTGGGTTTGTTCGTCGTCTGGATGTGTTCCATTGTTGCGTGTATGTTTTAAAGTAGAGTTTCTTGTTTTGGTGATTATTCTGCTCCTGTTTGTGGTCCCTGGATTTGTTTATCATCAATAGGTGCTCCAATATCGAGTTGGGATGAGTTGTTCCCGTCCTTTTTATGTCCTTGAGCCTGTGACTACCGGCACGTTTACGATCGAAACATTTTTTTGTGTGATTTGTGTGAAGACCACAACAACAAGTACCCACAAGGTCCTAGCTCGTGGTGAGCCGCGAGCCCCAGTCTTCGTTTCACTCGCGCTTTCCCATTATGTTGTCGTGGTCTTAGGTCCGCACGGCGGAGGCCTCGGGCCCGCCGCCGACTTCCCTCTTCGGCATCCACGGCTCAGCAACCACAAGAAGGACGCCGCCTCCCGTCTGCACCCAGCTCAGCGCCCTGCTCCAGCGAGCGTCCATCAACGTGGCACGCGACCCTTACTTGGCTGGCCTGCACATGGTCTTGACGGTGTTCGTCGGAGTGGTCGTCGGCTCTCTGTTCCGGGACTTGGGCCGCTTGAACGGCTGCACGGCTGGAGTTCAGGTGTGAGGGGCATTTTTTTTTTTTTTTGAAAATATGCATTAAATCATAGGGAGGTATTGTGCCCCGCTCGAGATAACGCCACAGTCGAAGGGAAGGAGATGTGTTGAAGTTTTTGCAGTGGGTTTTTGTGGTCGGGCGCACGGAGTGGGCGGTGTGGTGTCAAGTGTTGACACAAGTGTTGACAAACGCAACCAACTGGGAACTGGCCCATCGCGGAGAATGGGATGCGGCGTGTAACAAATATCGACTACCCCCCCCCCCCCCCCCCC